AACTCTTAACCCAATCTTGTTAAGCAAAAAGACATTTTTCTTATCATACTAAAATATCATAATTCAAATGATGTATAAAATGATAAAGGAAAACTTTAGAAACAAAAAAAGATCAGGATTGTAACAGTGGTGGAAGTTATTCACAAACATCTTTTTTTCTAGCAACATATCACCAAGCAAAGCTTTTATCATATGTTTCTATCTTTAAACAAGTCTCCACTGAACTTGAACCACATTGGTTTATACAGATGAGAGAAATGGAAACAGTTTGTCATTACTTTTTAAATCACTAGCCTAAACTTATATACATGCAATTTACAACTACCAATTTACAAATAACAACCATGAATGAGAAACTTGGTTAAAACTGGTAAAATAACACTTGTATTAAAAGCTGACCGACATATAATCCTCAGAAAATATTTAGAAAATTTACAAACACCAATGTTTTTTCATTCTGAAGTAAACAGAAAATAAAAATTTTCAATTTTTAAAATATTTTTATGTATAAAATTAAATAAATAAAACTCTTTCAATGAATAATTTTCAACAGTGACGAGCTTAAAAGACAATGTGTGGAAGAACTAACTAAGTTTATTTTCTATAAATCTTTTAATTCAAAGGTGCAATTGTCTCCTCAACCAATGTCAACCCCACCAGTTGCCAGAAGGTTAATACTAGTGCTGTAGTTATACTGAGTATGTTGGAAATATCATTATACAGTCATTCCTCAAGCTTGGTCTTGTAGCAGCAGCTTTATGATATAAACGTTCATGTTTATAGGTAAATGCGAAAAGAAAACTGTGTGTGTGAAAATTGAAGTTTTGTTTTCAAATTTGTCTAAAAAACAATCATTGCTAAGAAACTGATTAGTATTAATATAATTCCTTATAAAAATTTGTTTACGTCATGGCACATGTAGTATTCTCTCACTATTGTAACAGTCTATGAGAGAAGGAAAAATGCTGAACTGCAAATGTGGAGCTACTTCAGATTTTTTTTTCCCTAATGAATGAAGGAATCCTGTGAAGAAACATTACAAACTTGATGTTTAAAACATTACCATAACAACCACTAATGATTAGTGAAAGCTGTGCTTTTTCGACTTTAAATTAATGTTATGTATTCCTACAACAGAGAAATGTTTTTATTTTGCACTTTAAATTTTGTTCAAAATATATTTTTTCTGTGGTAATAAGTGAGAACTTTGCTTTGATCATATAATAAGTATAGATAAAAGTTGATTCTGTATTGTATTTATGCAGATGACTTTGAATAATATCAGAGAGTTCATATAAGTTTGTATGGTTTCATTTTCTTTAGTTTCAGACCTGGAGATGTATTGAAGTTCAAAAGAATACCTATGCTATTAAAAGAAATTACTGATAAACTTCTAATGCAACCTTAAATATAAACTGTGATGCATCAATCTGAAACCCAGTTCAGCAGTGTTTTTGTGCAATAAAAATAATTCCCAAATTGTGTACGCAAGCATAAACAAGTACAGTTAGCACAGTCTTTTATATTTGCAATGACAACAAATAAGCAGACTTTTGCTTTTCTTTAGAATAAAAACAAAAAGAATAATGCATGATTACCTAAGTCATAACATATAACAACTCCAGAATTAGATGATTACTGTCAGTCTTGTTGTAATGTTAGCTCTTCAATATCAGTTTGTCTAGTTGCAATAAATAAACAAAATATAGATTTCTAAAAGCACCGATTTCTTAGATATATTCTAATGAACAGCTTAAACAGCAATTTTAAACATGAAAAAGTATAACTGATAGCATTATTTTTCATTGAAATTCTAACTTATTGTAATAAATATGATACTTGCAATAAGTATATGATAATAATATTGCAACAGTTTTCATTATCATCGATGATTGTATTTGCTTTGCCATTCTGTACTTTAGATATAAACCCAAAGTAAAATACTGCAATGTATACATAATACATTTGAAAGCATATAGCCACCCACATGCTAATCATGTTCAGGATACAGAGCCCATGATTAATATCAGGTTGGACATCCTTTAGCTTGTATGATTGCCTGTACCCCTCAGCTAATACTTGGGTCAAGTTCCTGGTATGTGTACCATTTACAGAATAGCTCGTCATTCTTCCTCCAGTGCACAAAGTTCTGTGTATCAGGTCCAGAGTTGATGCTCTAGGACATCTCAAGTGGCCTAAAAAGATTCAAATTGGGACTCAAGGCCAGCCATGGCAGAACAACCACATCATTATCCAGAAACTTTCTGTAATAATGCAGAAATGTGTCAAGCAGCCATACCTTGTTGGAAGAAGAAAGTATATTTTTGTAAAACTGTCAAAGTGCTGGAAAATGATCCATTGTCCAAGTACAGCATTTTATAGGAGTTACAGGTGCTTCTTGGCAGTAAAATGACCCTTGACAACAACCACTGGACTGAGTTCATACCTGCAGAAACACACCCACATTATGCCAGAGCCACCAAATCCCTTTACAATTGATGATACAAGATAAATATTGTAGCATTCATGATTCATAGCTCCTTTTTTCATAATTGTTTTCTATATGTCCAGACCCCATGTTTGGCATTCAATGCACCACCAAAGGAACTATATTATTTGATCATGTGATAAAAGGCTTATGGAATGCAGCACAACCACAGAAATACAGTTTGAGTAGCCCATGCACAGTGTTTTCATGCTGACTACAGTCCCAGTTGATTCTCCTTGACCACTCTGGTAAGCATTCTTTTGAATCTTGGCATCACTTTGTTAGGTCAGCCCTTGCAGTTAAGGTTGCATACATAAACCTGAGCTTTCCATCACATGATCACATCCTGCACAGTAGCTGTGGGAATATCCAAGATCAATGCATGTCTGATAAACTTTCCTGACAAATTTATCCAATTCCTGTTCCTCTTATCCAAGCTATCATTGTTTCAATACCATACTACAGACCATTTCCAAGACGGACAAATGCAAAGGCTCTTTATAACTATCAGATGAGATACCACATATTTGTTGAGCACATTAAAGTAATTGCTTCACTATCTTGCATTTGCAGAGATGGCTATACACTTTTCGTGTACATTTACTTACAAACATATTGAAACAGCTTGCACACATGCAAGTTAACTTTCTGAATAATAATAGGAAAAAAAAAGTTTATTTCACTGTATTTTGATCTTGTTAAAGTGTTTTGTTAGCATATCAGTGTCTTTTGTATGAATAAGAATTATGTACTGTAAGATGTTAATTTATCAAGAATACCAATTTTCTGATTTTTAAAAAACTTTGCTTGTTTACACAATGGTTAAGGTACAGAGTAAATGCAAACTAGAAAGTCTGGAGAGATAGCTTTATTTTTCAAAATAAGCAAATACCAGCTATTTGTAAGATTAATGATAAAAAATCTGAAGGCTGGGACAAGTCTAAAAGAAATTTAGAACATCTGATATAACTGAGGCATTTTCAACCTTTTAGTTGGATGGAAATTGAGAACTAAACCAAAAGATTAACAGCCAAAAATCTGTAACCACTATTTTCTGTATGCAGATATAATGATAAGCAAACCATTCTTGTATGGCATTACATACAAACAGTTGAGAGGCTTATCTTAGCTTGTACACAATATAAAAAATTATACGACCTTTCTCTGCGTCAAATTATTTTACACTATAAAAAATGTTAGACCAGACCATAGGGATCACACAAATTTACAAATAAGGATAAAAAAAGTTTAGAAAAGTTAAATGTTATGTAGCTTATTTTCTTTCAATATTAAATACTGAGTATATTTATGTAACAACTAAAGGACACTTGAACATATACATTAAGACTTAATCATGTCACTTAGTATAGACTGAAAACAGTAACAACACTTTTGAAAATTTAAGTAAATTCATCAACTTTGAATAAAATTGCTGAGGTTTTATATAAATTAATACATTTTAATACAAATGGAATTTGTGAAGAACTTACCATATATATATATACATGTAGCCCCATGCAGCAACATGTGCAAACATTCCTATATACGATGCCTCCTTTTCAACAGTCTCAGTAGCAATTCAAGTAAGAACTGCTGTATTTCCCCATAAACGTCGGCAATGCCTTGGCTAACAAATGTTTTAAATTTAACATTTGTTCCTTGTACCACTATATTTTACTAGTTTTTTCACTTAAGAAATGAATTTCAACAATTTGGAAAATGACACTAACACTCAACTAAGTGATAGAGGCAACCAACTGTTAGTGCTTTATACAAGTTGTGTTCATGGTTCTCTTAAAAAAAAACCTAGAAAAGTATAACAATCTTAAGATCTGGAGGACTGAGCCTATAACATGGCAGTTTCACATTAATCATACAACCAAACCATTTTTTTAAAATTTAATCTTTGATAACAAGTTTTAAAGTTTTGTTCAAAGTTATTACTTTACTTATACCAAGATGGCTCTGAACATTTTGATATCTAGACAGATTGATAGTAATTTTGTACTTTACAGCATGATAATGCCATAAAAACTGAGGACTTGTACAACCTCACACCACTATACCTGCTAAATAAACCAAAAAAATTGTGATTTTTGAAAAAAGGTTTATTGTTCAAAACATGAAATTAAAATGAATTTTAGAAAAAAAGATGGTTTTATTTGTTCTGTTTTCTCAGGCCTTTCTCCAAACTCAAGCACAATTCATTACACTTGCACAATTCACAACATTAGCTGAAGAAATATGCATGGACTCGTAATTAATTGAATTTAAGTAAACCAGCTGGTTAAATGTTTAGAATTACAAATAAAATTATCATTTTTTATTAATCATATTTTTAAGTACTACATATCTAGAAATTTTCTAATAATTTCTTAATTAAAGCAGCAGAATTTCATTAGCCGCAGACTAGAAGTCTTCCAAGATATTTCTATAACATACGCATTTACTGCTATTGAGGTAACTCACAAGTTCAATATAAAGATTTTAAAAATATTAAGTGAAAGTTCACCTTTATATCAGCATCGGATACACCAAAATCTAAATTGGAAACCAGCAACTTTGCAGCCCCAGTAGTAAGTTCTCTTGCTCCTCCTCCTTCAGCCCCACCATCAAACATGTCATGCTGCCATTTATCTGGAAGCTGTTTAGGCTGAAATAAAAATATAGGTAAGCCTAGTTGTTTGGTATTTGAGGAAAATGTAAGCAGTAAATTGAATGAGGATTGGCTTTAAGTTTTTTTTAATAGTTTAGTTTAGTGGATGGGACAGCATAAAAGGACCAACAGCTCCCTTGTCCTCTTAACAAGCTCATAATTAATGTGATCAGTTTGTTTGATCATATGAAAGATTTTTTTAAATATTCTAGGCCTAGATATTACCATCACCACATGCAGTCTTGTTGACAATGTGTACTATGGGGTGAAAAATTTTGGAGAAGGAAACTGATAAAAATTAACCTGTGTTCACTACTATTACAAGTTACTGTACTTTAATAAATCATATGATACAGCATTATTATGAAACAATCATATGAATGTAATTTTTCCCCGTTTGTTTCTTTTCTCTTGAATTAGTGTTATTATTAGGAAAAAATTAAAAACCTTCACATCTAAGCTACTTATTATCATTATTATTATGTTTGGCTTTAATTTTGTTTTATTTAAGTGTTGAATTTGTAATTTTCATACATTTTTTAAAGTTAAATTGGAACCTGAAACTAGAGGGCATAGGATGTCAATTGCCATGGAGTAATTGGTGTTGGCTCTGACCACATGGCCAGTTGTAATGATTATAAATTTATTTTAAGACTAAGTGGCAAATCATAGGCAATAAGTGATCTCTGACATGATATAACTTGCTTTATATTTGTCTAATTCACTATACACAATTTCTTTGTATTTCAGTTAATTACAATAAGTTAAGTGGACCTGTAGTAAAGACAATAGTGTTAGTAGTAATCTAGGATTTGCATAGTCAACTTCAAAATAAAACTTTAAAGCACACTTTTCAGTGCAAAAACATGTCCATGCCCTTCAAATCTAGTACTAGTATTTATATACAAGTTACCATAAAAAAAAACAAAGCATATTTCGTTTGAATACTTGTGAAACAACCAAAAAGTAACATGGTTCTGAAAGTGGAATACAACTTACATTTATAAGTAATGTTGTAACTTGTAAGTTGTAGGATTATGTAACTTGTAAGTGCCACTATTAATATTACTGACAAAGATACGGTTTAGTATTACTGTTAGTACTCTATGGTGAGTGGAAAGCAAGTCTAACTATACTAACACTAGCCTCCGAGTGTACGTAACACTACATTTATAATCATATCACTCTAAGTCTAACATTTTGAGTAACATTACTAAGTGCATTAGTTTAGTTATAATTTATAACATATAAGTTATAGTAATTACACTCCAATCATATTAAGTTTTTAATACATCTAATATTTCAGGATTTAAGTTATGAATTAACAAGTGAATGCACTTTGAATTTTAAAATACACATTCCAAAGAAAATAATCACCCTGGAATATGGTAAAGGTCTAGACCAGCCCTGCGATTGACGATTACGAATGGCACCTCCACTGCTACCGCCAGCCCAACGTCCTCCACCACCGCTATTAGGCCTAGCTCCACGGCCTCGTCCTCCTCTTCCCCCGCCTCTACCACGAATACGAAACTTACTTCTGTCTTGTTTGATAATATCATCCAACGACATGTCGATTTTATCTGCCATTCTGTTAATATTTGCTTATTAGTTCAATACGTAAAATGTAAAAATAAATAAATAAATCAGGTTCCAGATATTGACGCTAACAACAGTATTGTTGCACAACAGGACTAAAAATAAAACTAAGAATAACAACTATACTTGGACCACATACTCTCGAAAGTAAGGATAATCACAACACAAGAGGCACCTATAAGGTTAGAAATGACAGTCAAAAAATTAAAAGTTTCAAACTTATATCCGTAAGTAATAAATTATTTTAAATACCAAATTATAAGAATAAAATAATGAAAATAGATGTTCCTTAATGAACAGTAAATGCTAATGGTATTTACTTTGACGTATATCAGTGTTATAAAAAATCCCTTAGGAGAAAGAGATGATATTTCTTTAAAGCCACCCCCCCCCTTTTTTCCCCACATACACGTTCCCCAATAGCTCAGTGGTAAGTCTGAAGGCTAATAACGCTAAAAACGGAGTTTCTATATCCTTGGTGGGCACAACACGGATTGTCCATTGTGTAGCTTTGTGCTTAACAACAAAACAAATAAATACTTACGGGTACCCAAAGTCAGATTTCTAGTTTTACAAATTGGAAGATGCATAATGCATGAAAAGTACTTGGTATGATGTTACTTCACAAAATCTCAATTGCTCTCGTACCAAACCTATCACTATGGAATTTATGTATAAAGAGGCATAATCAACAGGTTGAGAAAATAACGATTAATGCGTTTAAATTTATCATAATTCTCATTGCTATGTAATGTTGTAGGATGCAGATATATAACCATATTTCATTCTCCTATAATACATATTATTTATATATAATTCGTGATTTTTTCTAGCGTTCTAATTTGGAACATAGTAGACTTGGTCGAAGTTATATGATAATTTATTGTTTTGGCTTTGTTTCGGTGCAAAGCTACACTATGTGCTATCTTTGCTCTGTCCACTGCGGGGAATTGAACACTGGATTTCAACGCTGTACGTCCGTAAACGTACCGCTAACCTACCGGAGGACGCACTAATTTAACTTTAGATGTTACCATTTGAAGCGAGATTTGAAGAAGAAGGTTATCCACAACTGTATGGTCTCCTGCATTGCCTTGTGTACTAGAGTTACTTTAAGCCTGCTACCTAAGGCAAAGATGCCTCCAAACAATTGTGATCCTATTTTCTGATTGGTCATTTTCATATAGAATAGGGATCATGAAAGCAGTTTGGATTTTCAGACAGATTCATTTCTGATATTGAAGGAATCAAGACTTACTGTCTAGATATCGTTATTGTTTTAGTCTTTGGCACGTTTAGTAGCCCTCAATTAGAGCAATGATTTAATATTCAGTTTAAAAACAATTTATTTTCTTCTATTTCATTCAATTTCCACCTTGTTTTCTCAGTTTTAATCGCCTTTGCATTACGATAAAAATGTGTTTCCGCTAGACAATCAGTCTTTCTCCACTTTACCTTTTGCATGGAAAATAAAGTCTCTATTTTTGACTGACTTAAAATCCACACCGTCTTAATCCTTTCTTTTCATCTGCAACAAATACTAGGTCTATGAACCTTTCTTTTT